TCTGGTTATCGATACTTTTTTTAAAAAAAATGTTTTTCCAAAGAAGTTAACGACAATATATTATTGTTGGTATACACTAGTGGTTCTCAACCGGGGTGACATATCAACCCTAAGAGTGACGCGGACCCGTGTATTCTTTGATCAGACGACACAAAACTTTCGGAAAAATAAAAAAAAAATTAGAGAATTTTAAACGTTCCCTAATAAAATCGTATTATCGTCGTTGCCGTCATGACGCGATCGCCACCGCCGTCGGAACAACATAATATCCCTCCCGACTCTTCATCAATACCGCTGCTGCTATTCAAATTGAATTCTCTAAACGGGCATATCGCAAAACTCTTATTATTAAATTGTTTTTATTCATTTAAGTGTGTTTATTATTTTTCTGCGTACTGTGTTTTTGTTTAAATAAAATCATAATTCTCTTCTTAAATGTACATTACAAATTGTTTGAAACTTAGAAATTCAATGCGTTATGAATATTTTGATGGCAGAGTTACGCACATGTACGCCCATTGGGGAGGGTCAAGAGGGCGACATGTCCCCCCTCCATAGAAAATAATAAAGTTTCCAAAAATAATTATGTAGGTATGCTTTAAATCCATCAAAATAAATTGTATTATGTTTTCTATATCGATGATAATAACCAAAGACTTTTTTTTTTCACTTTATCAGTGAACGCATATTATGTGCGTCTATGGCAGTCGAACGTATCTTGTAAAGATAATAGAATTTTTCTATTACCTGTATGCCCTTTGATAACAATAGTACCTAGTGATTTTTACATTTTATAGGTTAATGAAAATATGACATTAGTTAATAGGTAGAGCCCGGATTTAAATGCACTAAAAATCATTGAAAAATGCTCTAAAAAAATTTAAGAATTCCTTTAAAAAATGCAGTTTAATTGCCCTTGAAAAATGGCATACACAGTTTTAAATTTATTGTTTTATTGGGTAAAAATTAAAATTAAATTTTCATCTTGAAAGCCTTTATTACATAAATCAAACTATGTACTTGGAAATCATGGTCTAATAATAAAAAAAAAAATGAATTTTGCATTGAAATCAGGGCCTTAGTAATAGGTATTTAGAAGTGTATTGACATATTCTGTTTAATCTTCAATGTTAATTTATTTATTGTCTATTTTATTATTTTCTATGATAATTTTATTGAAATGAATAAATTTAAGAAATATATATTTACTCCAAAGCATCATATGTCAAAAACTGTTTTGTCTGTACATGTGTACACGGAGGTAAGAATAAATTATCTTCCTCATTCCTTTTCAAGAAATACCAACCTAGTATAATATCAATATACTATAAATAGGATTTGGAATCTAGTTCCATTTTGTTCTCTATCTGAAAATTACCCAATGGGCGCCCCTGGGTACGCAGTGTCATATTGTAAGGGTGATACGAATAAAAAAAAAATTGTGAACCACTGGTGTATAATATATCGTTCCCTGAAACCGAGCGATAAAACGTTTCATTTAAAAATCAAGTACCTATTATACCGATAATAATATTATGTATGCACCACGGCCGGATCGCGAATCTCCGGTGACGGTAGTTAAACGTTTACGTTTCCCAGCCGAATGCATTTTGTGGTGACGAAAAAAAATATACTCTACGGCATATTATTCTTTTCATAGACGACGCTCGTTAGTTGGGTTTTTATTTCTGACGTTTATTTTATCGCGATCGCACGCGTTATTATAACATTACGATTGTTGTCGACATAGATTTTATTAAAATATATTTTTAACACCTCGCCTGGTGCAACAACCCGCAGACAATTTCACTCTGTTCGAAAATACACTTCTGGACGGCATTTAATTCAACGAATCTTGAAAAATGCCGAATTTCCGATCGGTAATATTTTTTCTTTTGATTCATTTTTTCGAAATTCTCAACAGTTGATCCCCAAGATCAAGGGTCTTCAACCCATGGCCCCCCTTGTCATTGTTTGCGGCCCGCGATCATATTTGAAATATAGCATATCTTTTCTATTTCAATAAAATTATAACTGTCATAAGCCATCAGTATCGAGAGAATTGGGAAATATATGATAAGATAAATTAAATTACCTACTTTTTTGAGAAATACTTACACTTGTGAGCATATATTTTCACAAATGAAAATTGTCAAATCGAAAACTAGAGCTCGGTTAACTGACATACACTTAGAAAACTCGCTGATCATTGTATCGTCTCAGATCCAACCAAATATAGAAAAATTAGTTAGTGCAAAATAATGTCAGTAATCACTTATCACACTAAATATAAAATAAAAAATTTGTAATTCAAAATTGAAATATGTTAATCTATATGTATATATTATATGTTTTAATAATAATACAATTGAATTTTTGTATAAAATTTACTTGTTTACTACGAATGCGACCCACAATATTTATAGAAAATAATATGTGGCTCGCTACATAAAAAGGTTGAAGACCCTTTCTCTAAACCTTTGTTTTGGAGCCCAAGGGGCCCCCCGGTTTTTACCAATTTAATAATGGTTCTAAATTCTTTTCATTCTATACCCGTCTATTCCCGCATATTCCATGTTTTACCCGGCGGTACTTATTATTTCAAACATTTTTTTTTCTTGATAGATATACCTAACAGATTTTCTGAAAAATTAAAAACCGTCAACGAATGACGATATTCTAAATATTCTTGCCTATATCCTATACCAAAAGTCTCAACTACGAAGTACTGTCCTGAGTACTATTGCCCCTGGTATAAAGGATGTCCGATATACTTATTCCTATAGATAATAATATTTTTACATTTATTGTTCTGCTGATCAGACATCGTCGCGTGGCTTGACTCACTGCTGCATGGGGAACTGGCCTACATCAACTTAACGACCACGAAATACCTGATGGCAAAACCGATTTTAAATTCTGAGCGGAGCAGTAAAACTTTCAGAATATTTGAGCAATTTTTTAGCCATTTATAGACATTTTAATTTTACGGGTTTTTTACGTAATATTTATTCAGTTGATACTCTGTGGATAAAATTGTTTGACCAAACAGAAATGCTCGACAATTTAACATAAGTTTCATTTTATGTTGTATTTAGTGATCAATAAGAAAAATTTGAATTTAATGTAATATTTTTTTTATATACATATATATAAAAATGTTAATATCAAATTTTGACGAAAACCGTAAATATTCCGACCCTCTTAAACATTTACCACGGAATCCCGCTCAGAATCGTTTTTCTTCAACTAAAGTTACTATCATTACGTACAGATATACATTGAATTCCCCTCTATAACCTACCTCTCCAACTACTCACTTACAACAATAGCCCACCCATCGTGCGAAGTATGTCCATCCGTTTTTTTATTTGTCTGGCGACATATAAAGCACACAGTGCAATATATCATAATATAATAAAAGTACAACTTCGTCGCGTCATACATTCAAGGATAACGTTTAAGTTTCGAATAACTTTGTTCGTCTTTTTTATTGTGTATTTGTATGGGTTTTTTTTTTTTTTTAACGGTTCCGGCCGCAGTTTCCATATATATGTACAAAATAATAATGAAAGAACCAAAAAATATAACGAAATATTTCAGCGTTGTCAAAACTATAATAATATACTGACAGCCGCGTATACGCACTACATTTATATTATATTTATTACTCTTGGTTCGTTATTATTATTATTTTTATTTTTATTGTAAATCGTAATTTATAACTCATTCGTCGTAAAAATACAATAATTTCTTCTTTTTTTTTTTTTTTTTGTACCAAACTTTTGACGAATGGGCGCACTACGGGCCTAAGACCCAAAAATTCGCCTTTTAAATCTCCCGTCAAACTTTAAATAGTTTTTAGAACGCGATTTTCGTCCGGTTCGTTACGACGCGGCGGCCGATTCGCTTTGAAAATTCGATACGTTTTTATCGTTAGGATTTTCGTTGTTCGTGTGATATTCTCGTCCGGTCAGATTTATTTTCTGCAGTACACACGAAAACCCGTTCGGTCGTAAAGCGGCAGTAGCCATTGGTAATAAGTTAAGTATAAAAATAATGCCCAATGTAGTAAAGTATATGTGTTATATATTTATTGGGGTACAGTGAGTATCCGGCAGTAAAACCGCAAGAAAGTCGATACGTTTTCCTTAAAGATTTGTCCACAGAAACGACCTATAATACGACGAGGCGTCGAGACAAAGCGATTTATATATTATTTGATCAGATCCTACAAAACTGTAATGTATGTGACGGGACTTATAATTGTGCGAATTTAAACCATTAATATCCTGTCACATTTTCTGAAATTTCCCCATTTGAAGCGATATGTCACATTGTTTCTCCATATTTACTGACACTCAACGTCGTCCGATGTCATCAAAATGGAAATAGTGATGTGATACACATTTTTAGGTACGCCGCAATACGGCTAGAAAAAATCTGAGGATTTTAACTGATCGGAAAAGTGGTTTCTGAGGGGAGAAAAACAAACACCTCAATAAAATTGTAGTATAACAAATTCGATAGTACACTCACAATCCAAAAACTGCGTTGGTTTTTGTACTTACATATAATAATGTTATTTCAGTATGTATTGAACTTATCGATACCTTGGGCCGATACCCATGTCATAATTTTATATTGCTATAATGTTATATTTACAAAATACAAAAAACAAAAATCGATTTCACACTATAGCAAACATGTGTTTTTCAATTATTATTGCGTAATCGAGTGTTGCCATAATGACGGCCGATCAAACAGAACGAGCAGAAATTACAATTTTTTTGTAAATTTCAAACAAAATTCTTGGACGTTACATTATATAATACCATTACCTACGCCCCAACCGGTAAGTACAGTTTAATGAATATTACAAATTTTTACAAAAACGTACCGTTTTTCGGTATTTTCATGCTATTACTATTATTAGTATTTTTAACTTAGAACAGAACTTATATCTATCCTGTTTAGGGTAGATAGCTGTGAAATTAATTATGTCACCGAAGAAAGCGGCGGTGACGACGACCAACTCAACGACTGACCTGTTGCGCATGTTCCACGCACAACCCAACCACCACGTGGTCACCAGAAAAGACTTGGCCATTGATTATAACAAAATTTCTCCGAATGTGGCCGAAAACGCGAAAGTCGACGAGAACGACGATGACGACGACGTTGTCGCCACCACTTCCGGAAAATTCGAAAACGCCGGGCCTATCACCATCAATAATTATTACACGTGGAACTCTCACAGGACAAACAAATCGTTTCACAAGTACGCTATGACTGGGTTATCTAGGATTTATCAATTGGAAGGGGTTTAGGGAGATATCGGGGGGTTAGAGGTCAATAACCTTCTTAACCCCTTACCTATAGCTAAAAAAAGCGACGTTACACCATCCCTGGTTACGCCTTCGTACGCAAGTATTTGTAACATGCCTTTGGTTTTTGTTTTTTTTTCTAAGGCCGTTGAAAATATTTTTATTATTTGTCCGTCGTTCGGCGTCGACCGAAAACGCGACAAGTTTGTTTTTAGAGAGTTCTCGCGTCCGTTATTCTGATAGCAACTATTTGCTACAATAATATCCGAAATCCCCGCAGCTGATAATAGAAATCTGCGTTGTTACTATTACAATGTTACGGGTTTGTTTACAATAGAGGCCGCGTTGTTCGATTTAAGTGTTATCGCGGTCGGCGATTTAGGGATAACGACGGGGGCAGTAGAAAAATCGCGGGACGACATGGCCGCCATCACCGTATTATATTAATAAAATAATTGTGAACCCGAACCCGAGACTGCGATTCGAATAGAATTCCCCGTGACCGTTAAGAAGTCGCCCTTGCAATCTTTGTTCGACATCTGTCTCGAAATCTCGTAGCGTCCGGTTATTATAACAATAATATATGTTGTCCATCACTATAATATATTATTACATGTCGTTTAGATTCTGCAATACAGAACGATTAGTTTTACGATAATGGCTCTTTTTTGGCGGGAGGGCTGACGCGGTAGAAAAAATGTACCGAAGACCTCGCGTAATACACAATATAATAAATAGCGTATACAATAAAGAGAAATCGAACACAAATACTGTGAAGGGTTTCTTTTTCGATTTCCTCGTTGTGTACATACGCTACGAGAGAAAATACAATTTTGGCGGCGCCGGCCGAAGAAATTATTATTATTATTATTATTAGGAGTAGTACTGCTTATTGTTTCGCCGATCGTTATTGAAAATACTATCGCGGCATGTAGACAATAATAAAAAAAAAAAAAAAAAACGGTTCGTCTTTGTGTTTGTGACATGTATACTGTTACGACCGTTATTAAGAGGACGCTGCACACACATCATCATTTGCACTCGTTTCGGTTTCGCAAACATATAGGAAATTCATGTTCGGCAGAACCGAGCCAATTGATCTGCTGTCATACTAATTAGGTCATATCCACATGGATCTACTTGAGGAGGAAAACCGGACCGCAAGTTTGTCGTCGTTCTGTAATCGCGGTTACTAACGCATTGTCGACTCCGACGTGCACACGAGGCATACTCAAAAATGATCGAATTCGGTAAAATTCATGAGGTCATGGAAGCGCACGATCGTTATTGTCGTAGTCGTTTCGCGAAACCAACATAGTTTTTGATTGTTATTCCAGCCATCAAGAAATGATGGTTCAGCATACTTTACTATTATTACAGAAATATATAAGACGTAAGATAAACCATAAAATTAGTTTTTCCGAACGTGAATTTGCTATGCCGCGCGTTCGTATCTATAGTAGATTGAGACCACACAAATGCGCTTGGCGTCCTTTTGAACGATAACTGCAGATAACTTCACAACCAGTTTTAGCCACCACCATCAGTTTCTTTTAATTTTCTCGGATGTCGATGCTTATTCCCTCCCGATCCGTTACTTCCAATCTTAAGGTCTTTCCGTATTCCATCCATACAATGTTTCTGAGGCCTTTTTCTAAGTTCTGGCCGCCATTCAATTACTACTCTGATTTTTGTTTGCTGTTTTTCTTTTTTTTTGTGTATCTAAACAACTGAAATCATAGTCCCTTCACGTAGCTATTGTTGTTAAGGGCACTCTTGTCATTTCTCTTATTGCTCCTAAATTTTTCTTTTTTGTCAGCGATTTAACTCATTATCAAACACGGGTCCACATATAAAGTTCATGACACATTATTTTGAAAGGTACTTAGTTTTTGTTCAATTTCCGACTGTCAAGAGTCAAACTTTGCACCCGTAAGTTTCGTTATCGGTCTTAAACTATGATTTAAAGTACTAATCAATACGAAGTATCGGTGGCGTATTTAGGATTTTGCCAAGGAGGGAGATATTAAATTTTGAAATATTTTGTTGCATATACTCGTATTGTATAGATGTGTATAGGGTACGGGTGTACGCGATTGTGACACCTAGACTAAAACAAAAAAAAATATCTAATTTTAAAATTTTATATTTTTTTTGTGAGTGTTTTATAAACTCAATCTGCCGTAACATGAAAATATTATTATAATTCTTAAAAAAAATGCCAAGGAGGCAGATATATCGTCTTGATCTCCCCTCTTAAATACGCCACTGCGAAGTATGCCATTTTCCTTCGAATTAACGCAACCGCTTATTGCGTTATTGTTACACTCGTAGTTGTTCCCGGTATTTGAAAATTGACGCTGTCAAATAATTTAAATGACGAGTTTTTTCATCCGCTTAATATTGTTCTCACTTTGATAGCGGCGCGGAATAATAACGAATAGAAATATTGTTTGGTAATATTCCTGTTCATTAGGGAGAGAGCGGAATTATTATCAACGTTGCATTTGTCGTCCATATCGTTCTCGCCGACGCCGTCTCGGTCGCAGTCGCAGTCGCCACCGGCGCAGTCGTCCAAGAGCTTCACGCGGTCACACCGGGTCCGGGACATTGTGCACATGTGTTCGGACGGACGGATCTTTTCGACGGACGACTATCACAACAACGAGACGGCCGCCGGAGCGGACGGCTGGCACTCGACGCGGGCCGCGAACCACGGCCACGGCGTCGTGAACCAAAGCAACGGTATCGCGGAAAACAGCGGCCGCGGACCAATTTTCAAGCGAACTTCAGGCTGTTGGTCGTGCACGGCCACCCGTGGCAGCAACTGTGAACCGCTTTCCGTGAACCGCCTAAACGACGGCAACGGACAGACGACAACGTCAGACGACGGGGTCCGGGCAGCGGCGTCGGTGGCAGCGGGCCAGCGGCGCGGGAAATCGCGACCCGCAAAGGTGTCCGGGTGGAATCGGACGTTGAGCCGCATTTTCCGAAAGAAACCCGGCTGACGCGCGCGGACGGCGTATTTTAATGTTAAATAATATACAAACGTATAGCGTGTTACATGTTTTTATGCCGGCGTAGTGCGTTTTATACGCGTGTCTATTAATCGCCTTTCGACCTGCGAAAATCTTGCTCCGATCGAAAACGTTTTAGGGACTTCCCTGCAGTTGAGTTTTGAATCTAGTCGAGATGCATTGGACCAGGCCCGGGTTGAACCGGCGAGCCACCCGAGAAAATGTCCGTGGTACGCGCATGCTCGTTTTTAATTGAATTCGTGACAATTCGATGCGTTTCGTTCGAGGTGTGACAGAAAAATAACGAGACTTTCTAAACATAAGCTAAACTATTAACGTAATCTTCTCCCGATCTTGATTTACATCCCTCCAGCTCTTCGCTCCTAACCTTTCCAAATCGTTTTCGTTTCGTTAACAAAAGAAAAAAAATGTTATATAAGTCACCGGCTTTGTTATTAATTTTTTCTGCCGTCAGTATACTCAGTATAGTCTGCAATCGACAACGTCGGTGGTCAAATTTTTGCGAGATTTCAACGACCGCATTTTTATTATAGTTACCGGCCGTGGTGTGAACCGAGCACATCATGTTGCTGTTTATATTGCTGCCTCAAAGACAGTTATGCGGCGTATTGTATTTTTATTAATTGTCTTAACGGTTTACAATACGTCTATACAATAATAATTTGTGAATATACATCTACTAAAATCCCATTTGAATATTATAACATTTGGAAATTTCCCAAAAATTGTTTTGGTAATTTTAGATTTCAGATCACAACGAGGAATATACATATATACGTATTGGATTTATGATGTGGTTTTTTTTCTCTCTGTAATTCATCGAGAAATTTTTCCGTGGTCTTCAAGTGTAGCATATTTTCTAAAAGCAAGGTTTATCTAGTTGGTACAACGGAAAACTCCTTGCAATTTTTATCGATATTTGAGAAAAGCCGGAAAATCGTAAAAAAACAGAATAGTTTATGACAGTAAATATATAATTATTCTCGAATTTGTTTTTTGTTGTTATTGTTGTTATAGAAGTCGGATATTTGTGCAGAATTCAGAATAATTATTCTGGCCTTAATAGATTTTCTAGACCTAGTCAAAAGTTTAAGACATTCTGTAGATGTATTACAATTATGTTTATTTTATTATAATTATTCTGTGAGCAACTTTTCTTCTAGAAAACTTGCTCAGATCAAAAAATTGCAAGAACTTTTTTGTTACTTTTTGAATCTAGTTGTTAGCAAATAAAACCATTTTTCGAGTTTTGAAGTTGTTTTCATGATAATTGGGAAATTTGAAGAAAACGTAAAAAGAACGGGAAAGTTTACAAAAATAATAGTTCTATTTTGTTCAATTTTGTTTTTCTTGTTATAATTCAGTTCAAAATTAGATAATTCTATGAACTCTATTTTAAATTCTGAGTGGAGCGAAGAATGTAATAGTTTTACAATGGTGTTTATTTTTTTTTCGTGTAAACACTTTTTCTACCAGAAAGCTCTATTCCGATAATCAAGTACATCACCTTTTCTGAAAAGAAATAGTTTCTGAGTGGTACTTTAGAGAGATCATATTTTGAAATTCTCATTAATATTCGAGGTAATGAGGAAGACCTCGGTCTTTAGGTTAAAAAAGATTGAAAGATTATAAATAATGTTGTAATTAGCAACCGTTTTTATTTATTTTTTGTTATTATTAAGCTTTTATTATTTTAATCTTTTTTTAAACAATCAATGTTATTACGGAAACACACATTGTTGTAATAATTTTATTATTATTTGACATAATATTGTATTGTTGATAAAGCAACACTATCAACTAAACTCCGCTCAGAATTGTTTCGTTGGCAGTGGTTTATTGTTGCTAACAGATATACGTTAAATTTCCTTCTGTATTTTATCTTCCCAACTTCCAACCTACAACAGTGGCTGCACCCACGTGTGAAATATGTCCATCCTTTTTTAAATTTATAATTAAAGTTTTACGTACGTTCATTTATTATTTATCACTAGCAAACAAACACGACACAGCATTTCTTGTGACATATAAAATGTACACTTGGAAACGAAATCAATGGAACTAGAAATTAACAAAAAATAATATGCAATATTCGTATTTTACGGACTAACTTCCAGCGAGTGCTATGTTTTAGAAGTGGAATTTTAACGAAAAAAAAAATCTCTTCTTATTGCACATCTACTTTGGATAATAATAAGAATTTTCTGTGCAAAATACCATTGGTCTTTAATTTTTATATGAATCGGTAATTATTAAAAGGTCACATCATGTATTCAAATTATGAAATATTTTAAGAATTACAATAAGTTTTTTAAATAATTGATAAAATGAATGTAGGAACCTAGGTATAGATGATATATAAATTTAGCACTAAAACATCGGTTATTTAAAATTGTTTTGACTAAAATGTACATAATTATAAAACAGATTATTGTTTCTCGAAGGTTTTTCTTTGGCAAAACCCCTAAATGTATTTTATGTAAAAAAGTATCATAATTATTGTTAAAAAAAAAAAAAAATTAAAAAATTAATTGTATTCCTCCATCACGAAATCATTTGACCGCCTCTGAGCCTGGGTGTTAAAAACGAACACACCTCAAAAAGAATCGTTAAAAACCAATCATTACCCTATAATATGTAGTTTAATAGTATTATTGTGTTATTTTAAACAGAAAGAAGGAACAACAACAAATTTATTCCAACAGAATAAATTGTTTTCTGTAAACGCATCATAATAACGTCTGGTACGTCGGTGCGCATATTTTTATCGGATTGCTTTTTTAAGACTTTTTTAATTCTAAGAAAATTCCTTTTTAGTATCAATGTAATAAAATATAATTAAGTCAATAGATACCATTTTTATAATAATAACAAACGCGTGTATCCGCGGACGAACACGTTTATAAATCGTAAAACTGCCTCAGGGTAATTTATAAATTATAATAGTCGATGACGTTATGAACACGGAAATAATACTCGAGACTCGAGAACGACGTCGACGACACAACTATTAAAGTATTGAAAAGAAATACAATTACCGGAGGACCTCTGTATGTGTGGTATACTTTAAAACAGGCGATAATATAGCGAAAACTTATTCACATAAAATAAGCGAAAAGCATTTAAAATCAGTTTTAGAGATATAAAACTTTTATTACAAAATGCGTAAATAAAAATTTTTTGAGAACAACTTTGTGTCGGCGTCTTACAGATCTCTGAGTATACAATTCAATGTCGGATGTACAGATAATCTAATTACACAAAGAGTTTTGTTATTATAATTAGCCGGGAAAACCGGAAGAAAAAAGTGCGTATAGAAAATAACGACAATTACCAATTACAATTTTTTTCCAATTTTTTAATCTGAAATCTTACTCCAAAAGTCAAGTCCCTACAGCATTTTTCCAAAAGAAAATGTTTATCTAGAAGGTGCATTTTAATTTTTGGTACCTCAACTACAAGCACCGAAAAAGTTGGATTATCCCCCGCAAAACAATTTTTCAAAAAAAAAAAAACCAAAAAGTCGAATGTTTGTAAACCGATTTATTTAATTGTATTTAAGTTATCAAAAAAATAAACGTGAAAATAGGAAAATATACGACAGTAACTGTTTTACTGTTTCGTTATTATTGATAATATTATTTTGTTTTAACTCGGATAAAAATAATTGTACATTTTACAAAGATGAAGTAAACTCTGTGAAGAAGCCTCCTACGTCGGTCGATCAAAATATTCATATTTATCAAAATAAAAGCCAAACTCACTAAAAACCCGCTACAAAATACGACCTTTGTTTTATGGGTGTTGGGTCTCCCGAATTGCGTTGGCCTCGTAGGTAAAAAAAGTTCGCCACGCCACTGGCCGTACATCAATATTCTACATTGCCAATACCATTGATATTGTTTGCTCTCGGTCCGTCGCTCTGTCGTGGCCCACGAATATTTTAACTCGCAGGTACTCGTGTTATAGCATATTAACTATATTGTGTGTATATTTGTGCCTTTATTAGCAGTTTGTTAATAAATTGTGTGATTAATATTTTTTGTTATTTATTTTGTGTATTTTTATCTTTCAATAATAATTATTGAAAACATATCATTAAAGTTATTCGATCTCATAATTTTGAACAGTAAACGAGTGTTCACTGTTCACTGTCTAAAAATAATACGTAGGGTATATTCATAATACACTGTAATTATTAAACATTAATTTGTTGAATTATAATAATTAAACGATGATTCCATAGATACTCCATACTTACGCCGTGCTTCGGTTCTACTCAATCTTACGTTTCCGGCCACCCGTACCAAATGGCCTCCGTCACGTCACACCCCAGAGTGAAATATAAATACATATTTTATCGTATTTAAATTATTTTATATAAGTATAATACGTATGTACGAATATATGACTGAAGTTCGAAAATTGTATCTTAAACGGACGTTTCTTTTGAGCGTACGTAATTCGCATTTTTTTTTTATTATTCACAGTTGTACGCGTTTCGACATCACGCGTATAAATCATCGGATCGCGTACATATTATTACTATGTATATTCACGTACAGATATTATAAAACATTCGCGAGTCACATAATACAACAAAATACATATTTGTCGGATTCGTGCATTCCGGTCGCGAATAAAACTAATGACATCACAAATATTTTAAGACGAATCACTATACATTATAATATGGCCAAGGACTGTTCGGATAATATAGTCGCGTATAATATCGCAAATCTAATCATTTAACCGCAGGCCTACGCACGACACCGGTCGGTAGATGTATAGCCGCCTCGTATCGTTATAATAATATTGTATGCAAAGGTAGTTTTTATATGATATTGTCACCTATACTCGGAAACGGTAATATGTTACGAAGTTTCTTAAAAAAAAAAAACACCCTTCCTGAGCAAAGCTCCGGTCGCTATAGTCGGACCTCTTTTACCCGCCTATTCGTATTAAAGAAA